TTTATATTCATTATGTATAACTCATAGACACATCATTAAAACTTCGTGTGTCTAGATCAGTCAGATTACTATAGACACATTACTTGCTTAATTTAATCCCGTAGAAAAAATAGAGTCCTGTTACACATTTGTTTGTTTTCTAAATCTTATTTATGGGTAAAGAAAATCTAATGAATTTTATCCGTAGAGCTTTTATTTCTACAAGGATAACAACTTAGATTCTTGAGGATCCTTTCTACCAGCTGGTTCTTGGTTAAACCACTATATTTTACAAGGATAACAACTTCGGTTCACAAGGATCCTTTCTACCAGCTAGTCCTAAGTAAAACTTCCACATTTCACAAGAAAAACAACTTAGGTTCATGAGGATCCTTTCTACCAGCTGGTTCTTGGTCAAACATCCATATTTCACAAGAATAACAACTTTGGTTCACGAGTTATTTTTATCCTTTCAGTTGGAGATGAATCCCCCTACGCAGATGAAACCCAAAACAACATACAGAGTTCTAATAGTAAGTTTACCGTATTTCAATTTCCTGTAGGCATCCATCTTTAAGGCATAAAAAAAAATGTTGTTTTAAGTCCTACTTTTCTGTTTATGAAAATGGACATGCCCTGCAGTAAGCTATGAGGGAAATTTTGCAAGGACAGCAATATTTCTCTTCTCCTTTTAAATTTCCTGTTGAAAGTTTTTTAATGTGCACACAGTCTTGATTTATTGTCCCATCTGAAAAACTAAATACTGTTTCCATGTCATCTGTTCCACCCAGACAGGGGGAGGCTGTGTATTGGTTTTTTAATAGACAATTGAACATTTTTCAGATACCACTAGCAGAATTGAAAAACGTATCGCATCATGGTGAGTGACCACAGTTATCTCAACTCTTTTTCTTTAATTTTATAACCATTTCAATTTATTTGGTGTTATGCCTTTCTCTTTTTTTGGATTGTAATTGCTAATTGATTTCCTTGATATACCAATCTAAATTTAGTTACCAAAATATTGGTCTTCTGCCACCATTGTTTGTGCTGTCCATTTTAATAAAATTATTCCATATTTTTTTATAAATTTGTATCCTTATTTCAGGGATATAGAAATATCCTAGCCATCTTTTAACATCTTATAATAGCTTTACATATTACATGGAGGTGGTTTTATATTAATTTTTAAGGTGAAGTTCTTTATATTTCTTTTGAATCTTTGGGGTTTCTTGCTGGTAGCACCATCGGAAAATGATTCTCTCAGTGGCATGTCTTTATCACTTGGCTAATGCTCATCACTGACACTTGTTTTGGATACACAGTCCTCATCAGGACAGGGTTTTGCAAATGGAGGTTTACCATCTAATATTGGACTTAATATGAGCAAGTCAGCAAACTAACTAATGAAACATTAGCTCGATCACAGGCTTTCTAATGCTGCTGACATGTTTCTGATACAACGGTCCCCATCAGGATAATGCAAGAAACAAGATGAATATCCTCTGGAATATAGTTTGCTTTTAGGGATTAATTCCTGAAATTGGTGTTAATGTTAAAAGGTGCCATTTTGTTTTTCAGATGAATTGTGCGTTGCCTTGGTATCATATTTATGCTAGCACTATTCAAGATGGCTGACTGTTGTGTTGTTGCACTTGTTTCCGAGTCTGTGATACCGCATTGTATTTATTTCTACATACTCTCAAGTGCTTTGCTCATTTTTTAAGGCTTCTTCCTCGTAGTTAATTTTACTATATGACATAAAAATGTGCATCGGTTTTCCGTGATTTTAAACTTTGTGGTCTGAGTCCACTACAAAAAGATTTGATGCCAGTCTCTTTTTTAGAAAGTTTGTTTCTAAGAACCCTTGCGTCCAGGTTTGATTTGATTGGTTAATATCATTTTTGTTTCCACATCAACCAATCAGCTACAGGCTTTTTTAGAAATTTCCTTTCGTGAATTTTTGCTCAATTTCAAAGGAGTACCAGAGGCCAAATTAATTAAACTTGATTTTATTGAATGGATTATTGGCTTAAATTTGTATCCTGCTATGTATAATAATTGCCAGTCATTTTGTGACTCTAGTCAGACATGTATGTTAAATTTAAGCTTCTGGTTCACCGTTAAAGATTGTGTATTTAAAAATATCTCTTTGTTTTTAAAGTAGTGCCACTAGTCTCAAACCTGTTGACTTTTTTCTAGCCCTGTTACATAGACTTAAGCATAGTATAGCATAGCAATCAATTGTGCCATTCAACACCCATGGACCAATCAGAAAGGCAGGATTGGAGAAATTGTTTAGCTTATGTTGAACGAAATAGGTTTGTAATTAATGCATTGAGCAGTTTTTTTTAAATATAGAAATACTGCTTGTTTCAGCACTTTATACAATAACCTTTCTCTCTCATAAATCTCATATATCATTGTTTGACTCTAGCCAGCTGACATCTGTCAAAACTAGATTAAAGTCAGCATGTTTCAGACTGTAGAAATATATTATGATATATGCCTTTAGAATTGCTTCCAAGATTATATTGTGTAGTGCTGAACAAATAATATATAGACATCAGTCTGATTCAAAAACAGATCTAGATATTTTGTTTCATGTTTTTTCTGTTTTTTCTGTTTTTGCTATTCATAATCTTAAAGAATTTTTATACTTAAAGTTCTAAATCAATTAAATTATCCAACCAATCAAATGCTTTGTTCTGGAATATTTCTATTTAAAATTCAACTAGAATTGTCTTCTCACTTATAACACTGTTTTTGATTGGTTGCATAAATCAATTTGCTGGAACAATACTCATAGAAGAATTTATTCAGATCATAGATAATGTGAGAACTTGCAACAGGAAACAAAAAATCAAGATCAGGAATATAATCAGACTGTTTTGTTTTTTTCATGCCAAATTTTCATCTTGCTGTTTGTTGATTTGATATTTATTATATTTTTGTATTTTTCATCTATGCTCATTTAAATTTCATTCAGATTTTGATGTTAGCTTCGTTAATTATATATATTTAGAAAAATGCGTTAAAAATTTGGCCTATGTTTGTGTATTATTGTTGGGCAAATTTGTAAACAATTTTCATTGAAAGTAATTGATCATTTTCCTTGAAAGTTATTATGAATTGAACTTGAAAATTATTATGAAATTTCCTTGAAAATTATTCAACAATATAAGTTGAAAGTAATTAACAATATTCAGCAAAGTTTATTTATCATTTTCATCCCAAAAAAAATTCATTTTAAGTTCAAATCAAAAATTTGTTTTGTTATATTTTATCTAATATGGTTGTGGTATATCCAATTATTTTTAATTTAACTTATTTAACTTATCTCTTAATAATCAAAATTAGAAAGGGTAAGGGTATGGTTTATCTAATAGACAGTTATGAAGGGTAGGCTCTTTAAATTTCAAATTAGTAGTACTTCATGATTTAGAAAATTGTGTAAAATGTAAAACTTCAGTTCATTAGCTCAATATTCTATGGTATAAAATGTAAAACCCTCTTCCAGTTCATTAGCTCAATATGCTATGATGTAAAACCCCAGTTCATTAGCTCAATATTCTATGGTATAAAATGTAAAACCCTCTTCCAGTTCATTAGCTCAATATGCTATGATGTAAAACCCCAGTTCATTAGCTCAATATGCTATGGTGTAAAATGTAAAACTCTATTTCATTAGCTCAATATGCTATGGTATAAAACTGGATCTATTAGTTGTTGCTATGGTATAAAACTGGATCTATTAGTTGTTGCTATGGTATAAAACTGGATCTATTAGTTGTTGCTATGGTATAAAACTGGATCTATTAGTTGTTGCTATGGTATAAAACTGGATCTATTAGTTGTTGCTATGGTATAAAACTGGATCTAGTAGTTGTTGCTATGGTATAAAACTGGATCTATTAGTTGTTGCTATGGTATAAAACTGGATCTATTAGTTGTTGCTATGGTATAAAACTGGATCTATTAGTTGTTGCTATGGTATAAAACTGGATCTATTAGTTGTTGCTATGGTATAAAACTGGATCTATTAGTTGTTGCTATGGTATAAAACTGGATCTAGTAGTTGTTGCTATGGTATAAAACTGGATCTATTAGTTGTTGCTATGGTATAAAACTGGATCTATTAGTTGTTGCTATGGTATAAAACTGGATCTATTAGTTGTTGCTATGGTATAAAACTGGATCTATTAGTTGTTGCTATGGTATAAAACTGGATCTAGTAGTTGTTGCTATGGTATAAAACTGGATCTATTAGTTGTTGCTATGGTATAAAACTGGATCTATTAGTTGTTGCTATGGTATAAAACTGGATCTATTAGTTGTTGCTATGGTATAAAACTGGATCTATTAGTTGTTGCTATGGTATAAAACTGGATCTATTAGTTGTTGCTATGGTATAAAACTGGATCTAGTAGTTGTTGCTATGGTATAAAACTGGATCTATTAGTTGTTGCTATATGATAAAATGCTCATTTATTGTTGGTGTTCTTGAATACCTTTCTATATTTCTATATTTTTAAATTAAAAATAAATATTTCAGTTGAAAAGTCTTTTTTCTTTGTTGTGGAAGAATTCCTGCTTGTCTTGGAGAGACAAGGAGGGGTTGTTGCATTATCTCACTTTGGAATAATCCCATTAAGTAAAGACAATTGTCCAACCTACTCTCCCTCAGTATTCGAATGAACTGTCCCAAATTCAAGATGTCAGCCCCTATACACTTGTACTTATTTCCTGTATAGAGAAGAGTTTGGGAGACCACTGTTTTTATGAAGGTATGGATTTTGAATTTAATTAGGCATTTTTATTTGTCCAATACATTTATGTGTCCATATTGGGGACCATTCAACACAAATATGAGCAGCACACTCAATGGAGTGCTCTTGTTTAGGTTAGAATTTCCCAAATTGTTCAGCAATACCTCTGTCTATAATAATATACACAGTGTAACATTGGTCTCAACCAACTTCATAAACACTATTAAATACAAACACAAATAACAACAAATTGTAAAAAACAACATTTTATTTACTGTAACAATACATTGAAGAATATTATTTCAATAAGAATTAAAGATATACATGTAATTTCTTTCAAAGATTTAGATCAAGCTTTAGATAGCTGGAGTCATTGTGGTTCAAATTTAGACGTAACTGAGTTGAGCTATGCATTAAAGACGTTTTAAATGGCACAGGACGATAAGTAATATGAGTTGAGACTGACACAGTGTATAGAGTGGCTCAACTTATTAAGAGGGTTCACATTCACTAGAAAAAACTGTCACAAAATAAGCAAAATATAAAAATTGGTATCACAATTATTGAAATGCAAAAAAAAAACAAAACATCATTACAAAAGCAATAAATATCTACAGAAAAAGGTGCAAAAATTTCAATTTCTAAATACAATGGTCTCCCAAATTTAGGGGTGTTTTTTTTGGGTGCTATTTTCCTCCTTGTTAGCAGCAAGTTTGGTTCGGTTTGGTTTCAAATTGGTGCAAATTTTAATACATAATGCAAACATATACATACAATTATTATACAAAAAAAGCAGACGATCTTTTAGCTATTTTTAAGCCAATTTCACAAAGTGTAAGTCTTCAATATACAGAGAGGCTGTGTTGGATTGTTGTCATTCAAAATTACAGTATAAACATATATTGACTTGATCAAACCAAGCTTGAACAATCAAACACAGCCTTAAGGAGTCTTGGTTTAAGAGTTCTGTCTGGACAATCAAATCTATGTAGTCTTCATTATTAAATGAACTTTACATTGAGTTTTATTTTGATTTGATTATCCAGAGAAGTTTTAGCCTGTATCAGAACAATAAATCTACTTTATGTATGATCATCCAGTCTTAATTGAATTCTCTGTTACTTAGTATCACGGGAGCCACAAGTGTCCAGCCATAAATGATCAGACACACCCAGCTTGATGATATTTTCACCCAGACTGACGCCATGTTGGAGTTGAGAGTGCTGAAGTCGGAACTTGGCCTGAAAATGAATGAAAGCAATTGTAGTCAAAGGGAGACAATTTGTGGAAATTGCAGACGCAATTTAAAAATGGCGTCTTTTATCATTTCTAAATGTTGAGGACTAACCTCCATTCCTTACTTGCATGCCTCAATTATCTTTGGTTGGCTCAAACCTCAATCCATGGCCAATGCTTGCAGCCATACTAAATAAAATATACTCACTTGTACCAATTGGTAAGAGTCATCATAAGATATAGGGAGCCCAAACATAACATAAAGTGGAAGAAACTGTAGCTATAGGCAACTCCCTCTTCTTCATTATCTACTACAGACTGACCTCCTTTCTCAGCTGATTCTCCTTCAGTTCCTACAATCAATCAATATATTTAGTAGCTTTCAACTTATCAAGATACATTATGACAAGTTATCAAAACATGTCAATCAAATAAAGAAAATCAATCAATCAAGTGAGCAATCAATTCAATCTAGAAATCAATTCAGTTTTGATATACACAGGTAAAATTCATTCAGACAGAAGCCCCACCTTAAAAAAATACTGTATTTTTCAACTTTTTCCTTAGAACTATGATATAAATATTCAACCATATTTTTTAATATAAAATACTGGGTCAAGTATATGTAAGATAGGCTTTCAGTTTAAGGTTACTGATTATTCTAGCTGTGGTTTTGTAAGCAAAGCTGATATAACTTCACACACTGTTTACATTAACAATGGCAAGATATTTCCTTTAATTTATTTTCTATGGGTAACTTCTCTCATTCCAGATCTAACAACATTCTTAGTAAATTGCGTTCACCAATATAACCAATCAAATGCTCAAGTGTAAATGAATTCTTATAAAAAAAATAACTGAGCTTTCATGTTTAAGTTTTTCAGATCTAGAATGTGTGACAAAGCCCATAGGAAAAAAATGAAACGAAATATCTAGAGCTAGTATTTCTATAACACAAAACAAATAACAACATAAATATGAACTTTTAACTAAGTTATTTTAAAGAACATGTGTGAATAAAATGGATGCTAAGCAAGTTCAAAGTTCAAAGGTGAAATGTTAACAGTATATGTGAATATACAAATTTGTCTTAATGTGACTAACTCTGCATTCTTAAAATTCAATACTGAAATTAGTAACTAAGAGATGAATAAATTACATGCAATGTAAAGTAAAAGGGTCACTTTCCTCAATCTAAATCTAACAACTTATATAAGAGAGATGTGTTCACCAATTCAACCAATCCAAATTTTGTCAAATCTAGAATGATCAAAGTAACCCACAGAAAAAAATGAAACACATTGAGATGCATTTTAATCAGCAACAGAATTAGCAAAAGCTCTTTGTAAATTTCCAAGAACTGCAGAATCAACCACTTTAAAAAGGACATAAATTATACCTGAATTTTCATCTGCAAAATGAACAAGAAAATTTTCAATAAATACTTTTTGGGAGCAATTGGAGTCTGGACTTGCAAGTCTACTTTTTAATCATACAAATTAGGACTGGCTTTTCAAGTCTACTCTAAAAATATTTGTTTTCTGCGATCTTAGTTTAATTTAGACTGGACTTTCAAGTCTACATTTTTTTAGTCTCAAGCGCTTGTACAACATTTCATTTGAACTTTAAACAGAATTGTGAAATATAAAAGCAAGATTGCACTCAGAATGGACACATTTCTTCTAAAAATTACGGAAGAATAAAAAATTCAAAATGGTGGATATGCTACCTGTGTCTGTTTGGAGGATTGTTTTTTCAGATAAGGTCAATTTTCCAACTTGACTGTTAGTTGATGTACGGATACTGAAATAAAGATATAAATATGACCAAACTTGCCAAAATATAGTTAGGAAACACCTATTTTCACTTGCAAATGTACACTTTTGGCAGAATTTTCAATGAAAATAGTGAAACATGGAATGTATTTTGCCTTTTAGTTGGCTTGAAAGTTGCCGAGGGGCAATGACAACGGTCATGCTTGTTTATCTTTGATGGCTTACCTTGAGTACAGCACAGCCAACAACCAAATGAGCATAGCTACGATACCCTGCCAATCAAATACTACCAATTTACTGTTGTCTCCAGTGTTAGTTGATGTAGAGTTGACTGGGTTCACTACTTCTGATAGACTAGGGTTGCAGGATTTATCTGAAAATCAAACAAGCCCATTAATATAATATGGCTGTCGTCTGGCTAATGGTCTTATTAACTGTAAATGTGCACACAGCAAAGCAAACTTGGCCAATCGGGCCTATAATATTTTTTGTGAAAGTCCCTCTGACTCGGGCCTACTCTTGCATTCCCAACACCCACAGGGTGTAACCAAGGGCAACACTTACTAGGATTGTTAGTCATGGCCGTCCAGGTCAAATACAGGGTGTAGCAAGAGATCAGAGAAGCTTGTAGTAGTCCAGATCGAGGTTGGTCTGAAATACAAATTACAAACTTCATAAACATAGTGACAAAACAAAGCGGTTGGCTTGATATACAAACTTCCTAAAAAACAATCTTGCAAAATGAACAACACTTTTTAAACAAAAACACATACCAGTTTGCCATGGGACAAATTTGACCAGTTAGCCCAGTTGATGATTCACTTTAATTGTATATGAATCAGGTACTAAATTTCAATATTGAAAAGAGTTATGGGTATCAGTAAGCACTCACTTTCTTGTATTTTTGGTAGGATTGAAACAATGCTGATAACAACACACAATATCAAATTAAAACTGATAAAGAATTTGTGGAGTTTACAATCTTCATTCTGGAAGAAGAAAAAAAAAATTTCAAATAGTTTCAACTATTGCATGAATTGGTAACTCTGTTAATAAGAACTCTTGGTATTTTTGGCACGTTTCTGTCATCAAACCCTTATGTAACCAGTTTGGCAAAGGGGGTGCCCATAATTCCAATATTTGTACTCAGATGTACAAGCTTGCTGAACAGTTCTGAGCAATTGATAGATAAAAGATTATACTTACATTAGCATAGTATAGGTAGAAGAGCGTTACCATGGCGATGGCAGCAATGTAGAAGAAAATCGTAAAGAAAAACAGTCCTAAAACCAAATTTAAAAAAGACAAATTAGTACTGTAAAAATACAAAATAGTACATTTACAAACAACTTTTGTTTAAGAATTACATTCATGTCTGCCTCTAGGCAAGAAAAACGAACTCCTCGGTCCATGCCTCTGTGAGTCAACTTACCAAAGTAGTAGCATTTGTTTTCACTCTCTTCATATTTCTCTACCCACGATTCAGCCCAGCCGTGAGCGAAGTCAACCAATAAAATCAACTGGATCAAAATAAAGATGAAGCCCCCAATCATACCAATTATCATCCAAGCTGCAACAAAAAGAAAAGGAAATACATTTAAGTGTGCAATGAGGGAAATTTTTTCAAATCAGCAGCATTAGCACACTAATTGACAAATAAATTCAGAGCATTAGCAGCACAGAGTGTGTATATTTGTAATTATTACCCACCTTGTCCAAAAGCACCTCTTGGAATAAAGAAAGCTCCAACACATAATCCAACCATAATTAGGATCTTAAAGAACCAAAATCTAAAAATAGAAACAGAATTTCCCTTATGATACACTGTTTAAATGATATAGTTATAAAGCTATGCAATTTACCAATACACTTAACACTTTTGCGTATGAAAACCCAGTATCCCGTTTGTCTATAATATAAATCTTTTCTATAGATATTCAAGTTACCACTACCCTTAATACTTTTCAGAATGGTATTGAAACAACATGTTTATGGCTAAACAAATCTTGTTCATACACTCACCCATTTTGAATTCCTGATCTAGGATCTTTGGAAGTTTTAACCGCTATCATAATGATGGAAAAGAGGAAAAAGAAGGCCGCCATTGCAAAGCAGACTCGATATACAGCCAAATATCCCACGACATTGTCACACTGTTCTTTCCTGAACACAGAATTATCAAAATTATCTGGTCCTATAAAATTCTTACACAATCCTGGAATCTGTAAAAGACAAGAATGGGAATTAGACTGACCTATTTTGGGTTAGGCGCCGAGTTCTTAAAATTCAGGCTTAAGATGATTTTTAATGAAATTCATGTTCACTTTCAGATAAAATTGAATAATGAACAGTGAACGTTCAAGGTGAGTAATGTGAACATATATCTTTTCATGAAACGCTTCACTGATGAAGTTTTTGAAGAATTACATGGTCCAAGACCTTAATAAACACCAAAAATGGCAAACTTTTGCAAAAACTAAAAACGTACATCATCTAGTTTGTCACGCAGTCCAGGATCTAACATAACTGCAGCAACAATAGCTCCAATTATTAACATCAGGGCATATCCAATTCTTGATGCTGTTGAATTCTTACATGATGGACAGCTGGCACAGCATAAACTACACGCTGCACTGCCGCAACAACATGCTGCCTGAAAATATTAATATCAATTTTGGTTTGTTAGGTTGTGCATTTTATTTTTAATGTTTTTATCTGGTTTTAAAATTGGGAAAGGTTTGGGAGGGGTGGGGGAATTTATCATTAAGTTGTGGGTTAAAAAATTCCAATGGCTCTTTAAAAATTGAATGGCGACAATGTGTGTTCTATGGCTGAAAAGAAAATGGGCCTGTATAATTTATTTTATTTAATCTAAAAGATGATAAGCAATTTTATGATGATAACAAAGCCATTGTTATGCGTATTGTTATTGCGAAACAAGGAAATATTGCCTTCGCCTCGTCATTAAAAATGGCCATAAAAACGATCGTATCCACCAAATGTCAAAAACTTACGGTTCCAGCAAGACCTCCTATAATGCACCCCATAATGGCACGGTTAGGTTTGTAATGAAACGTATATTATGAAAGATATTTCAAAATAAAATCGTGATTATGAGTCAATGGTTTTCTCTTGTTTACAAATTCACCCAAGATGGCGGATTTAGCAATGACGTCATTGGTATATTCTATTTTTACACCGATTTTTTTTGTCTTTCAAGACTTTTAACAGATGTTTTTCTTCCTAAAAAGGGCTAATCATCGTGGTAATATGCATAAATTTGCTTATAAATTGATATTATTGTGTTTTCTGCAAAATTTCGAAATTTTTTGTCATTTAACAGCGTTAAACGGTCTAAGGGAGAAAACTCTTTTTAAGAAAATGTACAATGGCTCTGACAACAGTTAACTTCTAATTATGTAACTTCATTTGATTAACAAGGAGGGGTGTTTCTGTGTGCGACGACGCTCTCTGTAGGATAGTGCTGCCCCCTCACAACCTGTAGCACTGTTTGATAGTGATCAAGTCATTTTTTGACCACTAGAATTCGTAGAATTGTGCTCACATTAAAACGCATTCAAAGACTGCTTCATACAGCTTATGAATTGTGAACCCAAACGATATCTCGGTGCTAAAAGACTGTTTGACCCTTGGTATTTTTGCTTCCCACGTTTTGTGATTGGTGTATGAATAATGTAAATTGTTCTAGTGATAAACAGAAATAATAATATGAGTTAATTGGTGTCAGCAGTTTATCATGACTAAAATTATAACTACCAAATTTACATTTTATATATACCTCCGCCCCTATCATATTTACATTTTAAATTCTCTTTCAATGGACTCTAGCTATTCCTCTATGCCTTCTTTTGCTAATTAGGGGGCTTCTCTACACATCGGGGACTGAACGTTAGGGTGGACGTGGGGGAAGGTGGGGAGGGGGGGGGGGGAATGAGGGGGCTTAAAGACCACCGCCCCTATCATAATTCAATTTAAAAATTCTCTTTCAATGGACTCTAAGGGCCACATTAAGACCACTACCACCCCTTTCCTAATTTTCCTTTTTCCTCGTTCATTTGGACTGAAATTCTTCTACATGTTGACGTAGCATTTTTGTGACCTTGAGAGATTTCGATTCTAATCTTGGTTCCATAATGCCGAAATACTCTGAAATGCCAAAACTAATGATATGGCGGAACTTCTGTCAGGGTTCGTTTACAAAAATAATAGATTCCGATGGTGAAATTTTCCATAAAGATCAACGAAATCCAGTTGGAAATCGGTAGATTGGGGAAGGATGGTGCGTCGAGACACCCCAGGCCTACGCCCTACAGTAACATTGACTCGTTCCTGAAACCATAAACCTTAGATGACACCCAAATTGCCAGAAATTTTAATCAATAAAAAAATACGGCGATTTTCCGATTAAAAATGCTAATAAACTTATATAAATATGTGGACGAACGGGAGTTGGCCAGGATTTTACTATAACAGACTATCTCCAGAACCACTTGATACAAAATGAAGGCAGTTTTCATTCTTCTGTGTCTGGCTGTTGCCGCTTTCGCTGTTGGTAAGTTGATCTTTTCTTCAATCTCTTTTTGATATAGAACTTGTTTGGATTATTTGCACTCATTTATGATTGCGTTATAGATATTGAGGATCTCATCTACCTGCTGATTCTTGGACAAAACCTCTTGGTATTGATCTTCCCTGATTATCCCCCCCCCCCCCCCCATTAACTGCTGAGTTGACTGGAATAATGAGGATACTTTCCACCAGTTGGTCCGTGAACAAACCTTGTGGTTCCAGATTTTCGCACCCATTTTATGTTGACGGGATTTGTGGGGACCTGTCTTTGATCTTCCCAGGATCATCCGTTGCAATGTACGATGCATTATATATTTTTTCTCTCCAGATGTCAATGATGATAATTTAGAGTCGGCTTTCGCCTCCAGACGACATGTCTTGGCAGCACGAGAGATTAAGTAAGTTAATTTCTACAGTAACATTCTAATAATATAGTAACATAGACCGAAACGTCTGCCTCTTATCCAGCCTCTGATAGCTATTTTGAAAGTTGTGCCGGATAAGAGGCAGATGTTTCGGATTAATAGTTACAGTGCTCTCCACTGACCCGAGGTCATCTTATGCTGTTTACATGAGCTTCGGATACAAAAACCTCATCAGAATACCTTATTAACACTGAATTTACATGTTTATAGAAGTTAACTGTAGTCTGATGCATTATACATTTTCATGAAAAGAGTTTTCTCCCTTAGACCGTAAAACTTTCTAAATTTTGCAGTCAAAGAAATGTAGACTTTCCACTTGAGAACATAACTAATAAGAGCAAAGACAGCGACCTCACGAAACACGAAACGCTTTGTGCATGTGGATTCTCTTGATAGGAATTTGACCTTGAAAAACTCATTTGCACTGTGGCATATTCCCACTTTCACGAGTTCATTTTATTTCAGAAAACGACCCTCAGGTATGCTGAATGTCCTCCCTTGTGTGGGTCCCGGCGAGGATTGTTTTATGTTGCAGGCGTGCTGCGATAAAAAAAACTATTACTGCACCAGCTTCCTAAATGGCGTCTGCAAGCCAAAAGACGCCAAGTATTATAGTCTTTATAATTGATAAGGTCATAGGTCATAGTTCAAAGTTCAGATGCTGCATTTTGTCACGTTGCGTCATTTATCTCGGCAATTTCTGCGCTCAAATATAAATTTTTGTCAGCAAAATAGCCGTCAAGACTTCGACTGATAAAATGCAGTATCTGAACATCAGCCGGGCTCATCGTCGATCTACCAGTAGTTGCTGTATTATAGCTCATTAGAGAGAGCATCATCTTTTGGTGGATATTTATCTTGGATTGCGAATTGAACATTTATTTCTCTTGTATAATCATCGTTGTATTTATCATTAAAATATTTTAAGCCTTTTGCGATATGGTTTTGAATTATTTGAGTGCATCGCGAGGTTATGGGTGACCCATTGGATTGTCTGTTGTGCTGTTAAAGATTCTTATAGACTAGAATCTGCAGAGGAGGCAATTGAAACAGGCCCTCCCAAGCCCCCCCCCCCCCTCCCATACATAACGACTGAAAAACACATCAAAGTTTTAATCATCCTTATTTTTACAAACATTTCCGAAGAAACCGATTTTTCTGCCTCCACAATCCAGTTCTCCACAGCAATGTTGAATACCACTGCATTCCTCGTTCATTCGGGAACATCTACCCAGCTTCCAATGGATACCCCATTCTCTCTTCTCGGCGCTCCTAAATCAAAGGTAATGGGGATTTAAGAGGACTGAAAGAAGTTTTACAGAAGCACAAGAGACCAACAAATGCCCAAAGACTCATAGAGGCCCAAAAAGCTCATGGAGGTTCATGCAAGTGTTTGTCCCTTAGATGTTTAAAGTTTTACAGAGGTACCAATGTTTACAGAGCCACTCACCCCCCAAAATGGTAAGAAAGATCTCCTACCTTTTAAGTACTCTATCAATATGGTCTGCAACAGTATCAACGGCATCTCTGGCACTCAGTTCCTTTGCTACAAAATACAAGTCATGAAGCATGAACATAAAATATGGTGAATTGGGTACCGTCGACCAAAGAAACTTGCCGAAGACAAAGCCGTATTCGGATTATGTTGCCCCCGCCCCCCACCCCCCCACCCTTTTAGGTGGATATTATAATATCCTTACATGCTTTTCGAACCCATTGCTACCATAAAGTATACATAAACACCTTACCTTCAGAAACCAAAACCAAGGTTGCCACGAAAGCGAGAAGTAACACAAGCTTCATTTTGTATATGTCCTTGCAGCTGTCTGATACAGAAATAAATTAAGTCAAAAATAAGCTCCGAGATATATATTCCATTCTCAAATTTCATCATTCCTAATTAGGTTTTATTTCTAGCATTTTTGATTGGTTATTAATATCATTGCAGCCAATCAGAATCGGAGATATACAACCCGTGACAGTAAGTGGTTAATTGTCCGTCATTAGAGTTAATAAATGTCATTTGCCTGATAATTTGGGTGTATGAACTTTAGAATGCTGATTCTAGATGGAACACGTGGCAAAAGTGGAGGAGGAGGGGGATAGAGAGGGAGGGGGGAGGTCGGGGGTGGATGTGTGAGGCTGATGATGCAGTGTCAACACGTCTAGCTTGAGCATCTCGAAATCCCCATTCCCCAACCGATCAAAACACCGAAATTCAGATTTTGTTCAAACCAACCGAGAGCCATCATCGTCGTGGCTCGGTAATATTGTAGACGAACCGTAAGCAGGATGCTAATTCTGAAACGTGTTGAGGTCAGAAGCAATGAAGTTGGAACTGCTGGTATACCCCTACATATGTCCATGTTATTAAGTTCATCTTTTATTCAGCTAGATATTATTAGAAGGACCTTTCATGACTAATGGATAATTGGTCTTTGAATTGGTAGATGTAAGGTCATTCGAAATGTTAAATTTAATGCCACTGAAATTCATTCGAGGTTGGACCAATTGGTCGTGGTCTAGTTTGCTATCAATTAAGCTCGAGATCAAGGCCTAGCTGGCCATTCTGATGAAAAAATAAAAACAAAAACATAAATGGTGGAGGCGGGTGAAATACCAACAATATTTTTTTCTATAAAATAACGATTTATTTAGATACAAAATCTGCAAATACAAAATTACTAATGCATGCTGTTTTAATTTGATTATCGTCTGTCGTTATCTCGGCTGTTATCATCGTCACGTTTGTCGTTATCTCGGCTGTTATCATCATCTCGTTTGTCGATATCTACGCTGATGTCATCAACATCATCACGTTTGTCGTTATCTCGGCTGTTATCATCATCTCGTTTGTCGTTATCTCGGCTGTTATCGTTATCTCGGCTGTTATCACCATCACGTTTGTCGTTATCTCGGCTGTGTCATCATCATCATCACGTTTGTCGTTATCTCGGCTGTTATCATCATCTCGTTTGTCGTTATCTCGACTGTTATCATCATCTCGTTTGTCGTTATCTCGGCTGTTATCATCATCACGTTTGTCGTTATCTCGACTGTTATCATCATCACGTTTGTCGATATCTAGGCTGATGTCATCATCACCATCACGTTTGTCGTTATCTCGGCTGTTATCATCATCACGTTTGTCGTTATCTCGGCTGTTATCATCATCTCGTTTGTCGTTATCTCGGCTGTTATCATCATCACGTTTGTCGTTATCTCGACTGTTATCATCATCACGTTTGTCGTTATCTCGGCTGTTATCATCATCTCGTTTGTCGTTATCTCGGCTGTTATCATCATCTCGTTTGTCGTTATCTCGGCTGTTATCATCATCACGCTTGTCGGTATCTCGGCTGTCGTCTAATCTGTAAAATAAGCATAAAATCTCCAAAATTCAACAGTAATTCCAGTTTGGATTAATAAAATAAGAAATAGAATTTAGCTGTTATCTAGTAAAATGGCAAATCCAATTTTTGGCAACACAAAAATAGCAATTTCTACCTTTTTGTGAATACTTCTTCAACATCAGCTCCGAATTCATTGAGTTCTTTAGCGGCATCTTCGCCAAACTGGTCCAATTTTTTACCAGCTTCTTCTGCGCCGTCTCCTGCAACCAAAATGTAGATATATATGAGAATTCTCAACATTAGGTATTCATTAGCATAAAATGTTTTATCAACATACTCGAAATCGAAAAGAAAACAGACTCGTTACCTCTTTTCTTAGTAAAAACATCAGCAACATCTTCACCAAATTCATCAAGTTCCTCGCCAGCATCTTCTGCTGCGTCACCTCGTTTTTGATCGGCTCTAGAATGTACAGCAGTATAATCTTACACGAAGCTCAAATCTTGTTGCTGCCATGTTCAAAATCAAACGTTTTTCGAGCATCAAAAGCTTTACAAAAATCGTAAAAGAGATGCCCACCTTCGTTTCTTGGTAAAAACATCAGCAACATCTTCGCCAAATTCATCAAGTTCCTCGCCAACGTCTGTAGCTAAATCTCCTCGTTTTTGATGGGATCTGGAGTAAGAAATCGTGGTTTCAGAACTTGGACATCAAAAGGAGACCCATCAGGATCAAAAAGATCAAAGAAATCAAAAGCTTCCTAAAATCTCAACAAAAAAAAATTCCCACCTTCGTTTCTTGGTAAAAACATCAGCAACATCTTCGCCAAATTCATCAAGTTCCTCGCCGACGTCTGTAGCTAAATCTCCTCGTTTTTGATGGGATCTGAAAAGGAAATCGTGGCTTTAAGAATTTGGACATGAAAGGGAGAAACTATGGGAGATTAGAATGATTAACGTCATCAAAAAGTTTCCAAAAAAAAAAATCTTAAAAGAGATGCCCACCGTCGTTTCTTGGTAAAAACATCAGCCACATCTTCACCAGCTTCATCAAGTGCCTCACCGACATCCTCTCCTAAATCACCTCGTCTTTCGTGGGATCTGAAAAAGGTAATTTTGGCTTTTAGAATTCTGAAGGCGAGGTATCAATAGCTTTCCCAAAATCATTAAACTTGATCTTTTACTTACCTTCTTTTCTTGGTAAAAACGTCTTCAACATCTTCACCAAATTCATCAAGTTCCTCACCAGCATCTTCTGCTGCGTCACCTCGTTTTTGATGGGATCTGGAAAGAACAGCAACACACATTACACAAAACTCAAAGTTAATTACAGTTTTCCAAACATCATAAACTCTACTAAAGATAGTCACAATCAAAGGCTGTCGTAAAATCGTGAAAGATTGCTATAGGCCTACCTTCGTTTCTTGGTAAAAACATCAGCAACATCTTCACCAGCTTCATCAAGTGCCTCACCAACGTCCTCTCCTAAATCACCTCGTCGTTGGTGAGATCTGGAATAGGTTATTGTGGCTTTTAGAATTATGAAGGGGAGGGTAGCGATAGGTATCCGTTGTTTCAAGCTTTCCAAAAATCATTAAAACTTTATATTTTGCTTACCTTCGTTTCTTGGTAAAAACATCAGCAACATCTTCACCAGCTTCATCAAGTTCTTCTCCGACATCTTCTGCTAAATCTCCTCGAATATTAAAAACTCTGAAAAGAAATTTGGATACCTATTTGTAAGGTTTCCTGAACTGGATCGTACTTGCTCTAGATATGAATTGAACGATTTGGTATTGAATCGTCGGAATTTCCTTTAAGCTACCCAAAACATGCATAAAGGGAAGTATCTCCAAGAACACTTACCCTCTGACAAATCTGGCGATGATATCACCAAGGTTCTTCTTTGAATCTTCAGCTGTGTCATCAACGTCAGCGACTATGGAACCTGTGAATAAATTGTAATGGTGAAGTCCGTAACCCGTTCCATAGAACCCGATTTCATCTACATGTAAATCTTTCCAGTTACCCACATCACTTATCAGAGTCCGAAATTGCAAGAAAGCTTCTGTCATTATGAAGCTTAGGGCAATCCCTACCAGACTATATATGGTTCTAAATAGGCAATTGGTATGCAAGACGGAACCTGGCATGCTATACCGACTGCATAGACTCTTGGCAGTTCTAAAGGGTCTATTCTATCTTCAAAGTGACTGTTCATTCTACTTACTTCTCTTCTTTTTGTCACCAATTTCCAAGCTATCGTCTTCCCTAAAATAAATAAAGAGTATATTGTCAACAGCTTGGTTCATGTTCCTCGTCAATGTGACCCGAAAGCTGGCCATGAAGTATTTGATGTTACCCACAGTGGGTATAGGTACCACGGGTTCGAAACAAAGCCATACGTGATCAATATATTCTACGATTTAACATTGCTGATTCAGATTCTATCGAGACAATGAATTTGGTGAAAATATATTACCTTTTGGAAGATCTCTTGAAAATTTCCAATCCTTCATCAGCTTCTTGTGCCACTTCTACAGAGGTAAAAGAAATATTTCCAACATAGAATGATGCTCTATCATCAGAATAATCCTATATAGGCTCATGGAAAATCCGCTCATTAGAATGAAACCAAGCAGTCCTTGTAGTGTTATCACCCACGCTGGGATCAAACGCTGATCACAGTAGTGTGCTAATTAGTGATAAGAATGAAATCCTAGGGGCCCTTAAAAAAGAAAATAAAAATGCATGCAGGTACTCACCTAATTCGAAAGCGTTTTCAACATTTTGGGCAGTGTTTGCAAGATCTTTTCCGACATCATTTACAGCGTTTTCAATGTTGTGTTCGGCTTGCGCTAGTTCATGAAATATAGGTCCTACAAAAAAATCGAAATCCGAGATTGATAGATCTAGTGACCATTATGGATAAACACTGATATTGACAAGGCATATTTGATATTGCGAACATGTGATTCGGATATGAAAGTTTAATCAGATACACTCTACAAAAATGTCTTTTCATTCGGTATACACACTTTATTTTTCTGATCGTTTTATAGTACTTACTATTCTTGGTCACTAGACGCACCACAAATCATTATAGTGTTCAAGTGTTCTTCAATAATAAAACAGCTTACCTGCAGACACCATCGAAAGTGCAACCAAAACAGCGACTGGAAATAACAGCTTCATGTTGATAGTCCTTACAACCCCTGGAGCGTTCCAATACCTGTCTGTCTCAACATGGCAAACGTTGGCATATATATCTGATTTTTTGCAATTATTACTCCTATTCTGGTTCCAAAATACGACAATTCCACTGGCTGAAACTCGTCCGGTCAAAAGGGTTAATCATTAAACGAAGTCAGTACATTTTTGACAATTGCGATTTGATTTTATTCGGAGTGATTATCATATATAATGAATTCATCCGGTACACCTTTTATGTTTTAAAAATAATGATCGACCTCCATTCAAAGTGAAATTTTGATTCGCAGTTGTGGTCTAAAACGCAGTATAAGCAAATTTCGAACGCCACAGTGCAATCTTTGTCGACCTTTCTGAACTAAGAAATAGTAGCTCTAGGGATTATATTAGATTTATTGTAATATATCCACAATTTACAGGGTCCAAAGCCTAAGAGTACAAGAGGAAAGGAGCCGAGAGAAAATTAGAGACTGGCAGAGAGATGAGGGAGCCAAGAGAAAGTAGATCAGACCGGAATAGAGAGTGAGAGAAAGAGGGGTCGAGAGAAGACACATAGGAATAGAGAGAAGATAGCAGAGGAGACAGGCAGAAGTAGGGAAAGTATTTGAGACAGAAGTAGACAGAGGGACCGAGAGATAAAGCAAAGGAGACAGAAAGTAGAGAGAGAGGAACGGGGGAGATAAATCAAAGGAGACAGAAAGTAAAGAGAGAGAGAGACCGAGAGATAAAGTAAACAGAAGTAGAGAGAGAGAGAGACCGAGAGGTAAAGTAAAGGAGACAGAAGTAGAGAGAGACCGAGAGATGAAGTAAAGGAGACAGAAGTAGAGAGAGACCGAGAGATGAAGTAAAGGAGACAGAAGTAGAGAGAGACCGAGAGATAAAGTAAAGGAGACAGAAGTAGAGAGAGACCGAGAGATAAAGTAAAGGAGACAGAAGTAGAGAGAGACCGAGAGATAAAGTAAAGGAGACAGAAGTAGAGAGAGACCGAGAGATAAAGTAAAGGAGACAGAAGTAGAGAGAGACCGAGAGATAAAGTAAAGGAGACAGAAGTAGAGAGAGAGAGATAATGTAAAGGTGACTACAGAAGAAGAAGAGTTACGCCGAAGTAGAATGAAGTGAGATAGTAGAGGAGCCAGACACTAGTGCCTACAGGAGAGATTAGTGGTTTGACAGGAAAACAGATGGTAGGGAGTACAGAAAGGTGAGGAGGTAGGAAAACCAGATACAGAGAGGGTATATGGGGTATTCTCTTATATTGAGAGGTACTCATTGTACCTCCGTGCAATGCTTCGAATTACAGTACTCCGAAGACTTATTATGGAAAGTTGATTTCCTTTTCTCAAACCGGGTTAATACTGTACTACACTTTCGATTAAAATTGTATTTTAAAACATTTTCATAATTAGTCTCAGTGGTCAAATGAAATTGTGATGAATTCTCTCCCTTGGAGTAAAACGTATATAAAACGTTATCCCTTTCTCCATTCCCAGGACACAGGAAACGATATGAATAAGCACGATGGTTCCTCAAGAGGGTGTGAGTCAGTTTTTACAACGACCCTTGATACTGTAGATGGATATTCTGACTCGTAAACCTTTGTTTCACCAATAATGTCACAAAAGGCCCCCACCCCCATCACCTGACATAAGGCATTGCGTCGTTTGTCTTCGTTAGCCCAATAAGAGGAGGAAATGTGAGGTCGCAAAACACAATAAGAAGCGGACAGTAGGGCGTAAAACTCCATTTTCAAACAAAGACAATGTTAAAATGAATAAAAAGAAATAATTTCTTAGCCTAATCATAACATTTTATTTTTATATGATGAGATTACAGATGGAATTAAGCGAGATTCTCGAAGTATTCTTTGATAGCGTCCACTTGGCTTTCGTACTCTTGCCCTCTCTCGACACATGTTCCACCTTGTAACCAGTTTGAGCAGCGGTACTTGTCCTTGTCGCAACATCCAACTCTCATATTACATGGTTCGCCAACCTGGTTACATCGTCCGTGTAAATCCAACATGGCTCTCTTCACCCGTGGGTCTCTGGAAATGAAGCAAATACATTGGACTCTGTTGAATCAAGTACCCGCTCTGGGTTCACAGACCCACCCCCTTAGTTGCTACCCTATTTAATTATTTATTTCATCTCTCATCATGCAAAAGTGCTTTAAATATTGTAAATTGTCGTTATTTTTAGATTTTTTCATAACTTCATGATAGCTTTAAAGTGACAAAAATCGTATTCGAACAAGTCTGCATATCCAATACTCGACATCCCCTGTAGATTTAGATTCATTATTATAACATGATAGCTTTAAGTTGATCAGAGAATGAAAAACATGGATAAAAGGACTTTATTTTTTTTGACAGATATCACGAACATAATTTTCTTTTACATTTCAAAGATTCGTGTAAAAATGTGGATAATTTAATAAGGCAACTCCTTCACGCATCTGCCATTCAAGAAATTGCTACAGAACATTTTGCCGCAACAGTCTTGGAACATGTGGCACATGTTATAAAGGCGAGAACATCTACCGCCCATCATTTTTGACCAGTATAAATCCAGCATCTTCCTCTTCCCAACAGAATGACCTCTGAAATGGGAAGGAAAATGCTGGTCTTAGACTGATCAGGGGAGTAGTGTGTTTAAAGCTATCATGCTTTAATTACACTGGAGTTAATTTTTAAAAAGAAGCCCGCTTGTCCGCAGTATTTACTACGGAGAAGCGAAAATGTCCTGATGGGTAGAAAATGATCTTGACCAGAGATAGCAAAGCATTCGAAGCACCCCCAGAGATTATTTTTTACAGATTTGCCATGAAATATGGTTTAATACTTACTGAAGAGTTCCGGATTCCAAAACATGTCTTTTTAATTCCAAAGCAGATTTGACAAAGTCTTCGTTCACCTCTGAAACAAAAGTTATATTCAGTTTTCGTTCCTGAAATTTTCTCCCAGATTTCAACGAAATACATTTTATAATTGCATACAAACCAAAACTCCATATTTTCATTCTGAAAATTGATACACTTGGCTGAAATTGAGCTTTATCAGCTACCCCAAGTAAATTCTGTGAAATTTTTGTTATAATACTTTTTTGAAGTGAAAATATGCAAACGTTCTTTTAAAAAAAGATTTGAAAATCTTACCAACGGCGAAAGCGGTGACTGCCAAGCACAAAAGGATAAAAACTGCCTTCATTTTGTCTGTAGAATTTCTAAAGTGAAGATATTGGGATAATTCGAACCTATTCCGCTTATATAGGCCACTTTATTTACATTTTTAATATAAAAATCGGTGCTTAAGCCAAATTGAGTAATTTTCTTATTTATCCATTTGAATTACCATGATAGCTTTAATATGAATATTCATTCTCGCTCGCAACACCTAGTGAGTTGTTCTGCAGTGTTTTTGATTGGGTCGCTGATTTGAAATTGACCAATGACAAACAAGTTATGGTCAACCGTTTTTGGTGTGCTTAATTTGTATGGAATGTTGTCTATAGACAGACAATGAATGCAATTGAAAAAGTGGTCGTAATTTTGTATAAAATTACCGTAATGTCCATCTGTTAGTAGGATTTTACATTTTAAATTGAAAAAAAATGTGAAAAATATTCAAGTTGTGGGCAGATGAAGTGGTTTCGAATGAGATGCCAATTTTGGAGTTAAATTGATGTCAACGACACGTGGGATTCAATTGGTGAATAAAGCTGAAGAAAAAAAGATGGGGTGGGGGGGGGGGGGGGGGTGCATTTTGAAACTGTGAATATTTGTAATGGTCATATTACGTTTCTTTTTAGTTTCGTTTGTGCATATTATGTTCATAGGTTCCACTCAACCGAAATCTGACAACATTCCTCGGAATATTCGATATAAAAAGAAAATGTCTGACGTAAAACTCCATTAGATTTCCTAACCTCCTGTCTATAGAAAGAGTTTAGCCCTATTTTAACATAAAGTGCCAATCGGTCATTATCATTTTAGTCCCTCTCGGTCAATGGTAAGCCATTATTGTATTATTTTTAACCTTTTGAAATAGTCTATGAAAAAAGCTACTTTATTTCAATTAACTATTTGTAGATCGTTCGGTTACTGACCCCATAGGTTTTGAAATTTGGGTCAAAGGATTGCCTTGAAATAGCACTCAACAATCTCCGTCATCATATTTTGTTTGATCATGGATATTAGCACCTTGCGGTATGCCATTATCATTATCAGAACATTTTGGTGCATTCTTTTCCATTTCGTCAATTATGCCGCTTTCGCATTTTAGGCTCACCTTAAAAAGTGGGCGTTACCGCTTCCGGTTTGAATTTTAATGGTGGATTAAATCTAGAAATTCGCTTGAATTATTATAAAAATGGTATGTATGTTGTTTATAACGAATATCCTTCCCTAGAAATCATACAGGACATACCTCGTACACGATTTTATCGAATAGGGTCCAAATTTGCTCTTGATTTCATATTTCAAATGCTTTATTTCTTATTTTACATCGGCAATAATGCACTACTTTCGGTTTCTTTTCGTCGCAAATGGCGATGGAACCACAACTTGCAGGACTTTCTATTGTTATGTGACTGTGGTAGCTTCTGACCAGGAAATTTATAGACAGTTTTAGCATAGTGACTACTACTAATGCTTCACCAATCCTTCAGAGTCGGCCCGGTGTCAGATTACACCTCCTAATACCTAAATGTTGTTCATTCATTGTAGAGGTTCAGATTTTGTGGAGAATTGGATTGCCCCGATTGGGTGTTGGCTGAAATTAGTACCTTGGCCAAGATGGTAAGTAGGGGTTTAGTTACTGTCAAAGGTGTAAGTTTTGGGGCTTATCTCTGCATCTTTGGAACTTGGATACTGTTACTTCTAAAATGCATTATCAACTAAAATTCAATGTTAAAATGAAGCACACTTTTTTCTTTAGACATCAGTGAAAATGAAGTTACTGTGTGTTCAAGTTTTAAAGGATCTTCTGGGAACTGATATTGATGTAAGTATATTTTGTATCTTTTTTCGAGGATGGACTGTAGCTGAATTAGTAAGAGTGTAGGAATCTTGATGTCAATCTGTCTTATAACCTTGACATCTTTCCTTTTTTTTTTTTTGCAGTATGACAAAGTTTCAAAGTTAACTTCTGATGCCAAATTTGGTAAGTTAGAAACCATATTTCCATTATGTTATGGTGGACTCAAGTGCATTTGTTCTAAATGGGCCTGGCTTTATGTTCTACAGACTGTACATGTTAAACTTCATTTCATTTCAGAAACTGGTGATGTCAAAGCCAGTATAGCTGTTTTATCATTTATTTTAACCTCGGCAGCCAAATACAACGTAGATGGTGAAACTTTGTCTAATGAACTACAACAACTTGGTCTTCCTAAAGGTTTGTAAATTAATGTTTTTATCATTCTTAATCTCTACCAAGTATCACTAGATCAATGCCAAGAAGTTTTGCCAAGGACCAGCTGGTAGAAAGAACCTGTGTTTGTCAAATCCATTTTATGCGTGTTTACTATATTCTGAATATTTTTGTAATAAAAATTCAATTGATATATGTGTAATGAATACGCCTCTATTTTCAGAACATTCCACATCATTATGTAAATCTTACAGTGATGCTCTAGAAAAATTAAAGGAACATTTACAGCAACAAAGTTTAAGATGTAAGGCATTTTTAGCAGGATGTTTCATTGAAACAGAATTTTTTTTTGGTCAAAACATTGTGCTTCTAATTCTGCTGATGGAAATTGGCAACACCATGAAGTGTTCAATAAGGGAAATTAGCTTTAGAAAATCCTAAAATTCATTTTGACCCAATAATACTCGCATGCAAATCTTGTTCTTATCCACTTCTGTTTTTTTCAGTATCTCATTTAGACTCGGTGCAGTGGAGAGTTGACTATATTCTTAGTTCTAGTGAGCTTAAGGTAGGGATTAAATACAATGACACAAATCAACATTCAACAGAGCTTTTTCCTCGAGCTTAAATGAGTTTGTCAAGAAACAATATCCCTGCACTCATCATAGTACCACAGCAGAGGGGTAGGGTTAACTTTCAGAGATGTTACCTGTTTTCTCGTCCGTTTCTGTTGATTCATGTTATTTGTGGTTATTTTAGGATGTAAGTGAACCCTGTGTACAGATGAAATTAAATGTAAAAAATCCAGATACCAACACAGTAAGCCCTGTAACCTTCACTGTACCAGCTGATAAATTTAGAGTCTTATTGAATGGTTGGTGATCCATTTTTTTTAACTGTTGTGAAATAAGTAGCAAAATGAGAGAGGGTTGTAGTCCAATAGGATGATGTGCTGTTGATATGATGTCACACTTGCCTTGTTTGTATCATAGGATTTCTTTAGAGGAAGATATGGAATGGGAGGAGGGGATGGCTGTAGACTAACAGAATAAGGTGCTATTGTGATATGATGTCAGTTCACATCTGTTCCTTGACACTTCATAGAAATTTTCAGAGGTGGCTGTTGTTCAGTTGACTAGAGGATGCTATCTTGTGATGCCATTTGCTTGGTTACTTAAAAATGTTGAGTCCTAATATGTTTAATATATTCATCTTTTGCAGAATTAAAGCAAGCAGACGCTCTCATGGAAAATCTATCTTCTTAGATGTTGAATGAATTTTAAAAAAAGTGAAATTTGGAAATAGGATTTGTGAAAATTATCCATTAACATTCAAGACTATTGGTGACCTTTCATAAGCCTCATTATTCTGGTCCACCCAGCTGTACATGGGTTCAGATGATCTGGGAAAAATCAATGCCAAGTGGTTTGGCCAACCTAAGTTGATATCCTCATAAAATATAGTTGTTTCTTTCTTTCTTGCTGAAGTGCCACTGAGTTCTCAACTTCAAGATGCAATAGTGACTAGATTTTTGGGAGTGATTGAGTCTTTGGGTAGCCTGTAGAAACAATACAGACAAGATGTACATGAAATGAAACTCAAAAGAATTTCAGTTATTTTGTTTAAGCAGATTGAATAAGAATATTTTATTATTTAAATGTTTATTATGAAAATATAAAAATGTAATTGTTTAAAGACTGTGTTTTCATTCAGGCCATTATCCACATCCAATAACCATTAGCCTTACATACAGATGCACACAGTGGTGGATTAATATGCCACTCATCTGCACCTGCCACCCCCAAATATGGACCTAAATCCATTTGAACCCTGACATCTGAAAGGGTCACAGCAATGTTGGATTAAGCTGCATTTCTCCAAAGGTAAAGAACATCGTCCCTTAGAGATATGAATTCCACGGGTTTCTCTGTTCAATTTCTCCCTACAGATAAATAGTTAATATACTTTTAATGGATTAATAAATAAATTAAATTTATAAGATTAGTTAAATTCTTTTTAAAAATTAATTAAACAATTTTAAAAATTAATCAAATATATTTCTCAAACTATTATGATTCAATTAAAATTAATTAAAGACTTACTCTGAATTCCCTGTGTTTTCTGAAAGATAAAACAAGAGCTGTGATAAGGTTATGCCGAAATCAATGCCAGAATCTATGCACGAAGACCTCAAAATCACTTTAAAATTGGGCCCGTATAGCACAGTGCACAAAGTACTTATTACATCCTATGTATACAGTATAATGATACTTGTTCCGTTCACTGGTCTATATTTCATGGATGGAAATGTGAGGAACTCTCGATCTCCTTCATTCCTTCATTTCCTATGGAAATACATGCAACTCTACGCTTCGGTTTGCTCTTTTTTTTGGATAAAAAAACTCTTTAAACGTACCAGCAAATACGATATAGCCGCATAACACAATGAAGAACAATATTACCAACTTCATCTTTGATTCCTGTCGATATTAGTTCGCCTGCTGCAAGTCTTGTAGGTCTATTCCCTTACTGTCTTGGAATAACTCTCGTTTAAACACTAGCTATTTGTCTTTCAATTAAAAAATCAGGCCAAGTTTCTAGAGAATATTCACTGTGTTAATTTCAAGGAAAACAACTTTACATTTTTAAGTGGTTGATTCCGTTTTGTAGTCCGAATCTCGGTCATTTCTTGTCATTCTGGGAGGGAGAAAAATGGTTATATAATATATACTTGTAGTAACTCCATTAACGGCAGTTAAATAATTCTCCATTTTTACACTACCATACAACTTTAAAGATTAACAGTATCATTCTGCTTACAGACATATACGTAGGAGCCCAAAAAATTTAACAAGGGGTGGGGTTTGGTCCAGATGATATCTGTACGAAAAAAAACATCTATAGTGAGTCCAATTGAATGCCAGATTTTTGCCCTAAAATTATCCACCAATACCCAAAATAGAACCTGATTAGAGGAGCGCCTCACAGAACCCTATGTCGCAGACCACACCCTTGTTCCTGCATGACTATCATCGTTAAAACCACGCCCCTTATCAGCCTATAAAGCAGTAAAAGGTTTCGGACGCGTTGAATAGACGATGTGATATTTATCTAACCACCACCAGTTCCGAATACCGGACTATAGAAATGAACTCCAGCGTACAATCTATTTCTTACAGACCTGGTTCTTCTTATATTTAGAAACATGATATGTCTTATATCAACCTAAATTGTAGTACAGGTCAAGGCCGTTTCTAGCTTAAAATTCTAGTTCCATGAATTCAAGTTTTTCTTCGAGTTCATTTACTGGGAATGCACTCTTTGGATTATCAGAGAATTTTTAGAATCCAGCTAGGAATTTGGAAGGAAGCTTGGCACGAATTGAGACATTGTAATGATGCTTTCTCTTTATTTCTGCCTCACTACTTGTCTTGTTGTGGCGAGCGTTGCTATCAACACCGAGGGGTAGGGTTGGGGCAATTCCAGAGCGCCTGATGCCACTTTGCAACTAGGACAGTCATAATCATGATGGTTTATCAGAAAACAAAAGCTGAATGCTTTAATTCCAAAATCTAATACACGTTTATGAAATTAAATCTTAATTTTGTCCATAAATTCTTCCCACTTGGCTTTCGCCATTTTCTCGAATTTTTCCCCGTTGATTTTAAGGCAGAGTCCGTGCCCAAACAGTAACGGTATACGAGAGCATTCAAACGGATCGCAGCAATGCTGCAATAGGCTGCACTTCTCAAACATTTTTGAGCATCTGTCTAGCTTAAGATGAATTCCGCGAGGTTCAAACTGTCTTGTGCCATGTATGTCTCTGAAAATTAAGATTGGGGCTATCAGAATATAAAATTAAGAATGAACCTAGGAAATTGTATATTAAGAATGGAGCGATAAGAATTTCAAAATTGAGAATGAAGCGAAGAATTAAGAATTACAAAATCGGAAATATTAACTTACTCATATATTGTGCTTGTTGCATTTGGTACACCTGAAATACGAATTCACCAATTACTCTCTACGTTGGACACTGACTCTTATATAAAATATGGTGAGCTACCGACTCATTACGTCCCAATTGACCTTTAAAGAGTGATTAAAAAGTTTTTCTTACCTATCAAGAATACACAGAGGATGGTAACAACAAACCAAGCTCCCAATTTCATTTTGAAAATATTAAAACAAAATTCAATTCATTTCTTTTCAAAATGCAATCGATAAAAATTTTTTGATCACAATCAGGTGCGACTAGACACTAATAATTGCAACCAATTAGTCAATTAAAATATCAACGGGTGATAAATAGGCCACAACTGATTTGAAAAATGTAGTAATGGAATGCTCTTACCGGTCCCTCTTTCAGTAGGCCGGTTATTGGAGCGTAAAACTCCATTTCATTTCATAAGACTGGGGTTGTAGTAAGGCGTGGGTCTGAAGACATATGTTGCATTCTCCTATATATTAAATTGGTGTCTTGGGAGGCTATGGTTATTGGTTTGGGGTTAAAACTATTGATATTCAAATAATATCCATAGCACAACATTATGAAAAAAACGATGTCGTTCGAATGACAAACGAGGTGCTGCGAATGAATGAAAAAATACAGGCGAGTAAGTAGTGACTGTAGCGCGTATCCGGTGTCATGGCGGAACAAATGGCATGAAAATATAATTTGTACTAATAAAATCTGTTTAATTCGTAAGTTGTTACCTGTAGAAACGATCTGAAATTCACTTCTTGGATACTAGACCACAGACTTACCACGGACGCAATTTCAGGCTATACCATAAGCCTGATTGAAATTTACAGTCAGTAAATGGAATACCTAAATGAAGGTTGAGTCCAAAGCGGCAAAACTCGATTCCAATTCTTCAGAAAAGGGCTCAGGAAAGGTTTTCATGGCATTACAAAAGAAGCATATACGTAGGCAATGTCGTGAGACTTGTTTGACTATACTCAAGCCAATAATGTTTTTCACTTGTCTCTTATTTCAGAGTTGATTAGATGATTAAGGCAACAGGATGATGAGAGGTTGTAAACGAGTAGTGACTGAGGCTCTACCATCCATTTCTAGACAAACCAAATCTGTTCTACCATCTTATAACTTTCAGCAGTTAAGGGTATGTACCTTAAAGAGATACACTCATCAAAATATAAGCTAAAAGTCTATTGATAAAGCTCAATTTCAGATATCAATAGCACCCATAGCATTCATGCTAGAATTACAAAGTTTCTCTATAGTAATACCAGGAATAAAATTCTGATGCCACCTCCAGTGCTTTTGGGATTAAGCACAGGGTTGATATCTCTGTCTCTTTGCCAAATTTTAATTTGAGACTGTATTATCACTGTGTTTCAGAGTACAGTCATAGTTAAAAGAAGACATGAACCAGGCTTGGCTAAAATTGGCAGCAATCCCAAAATCAGGACACGTCATCTGATTTATGATTTCTGTGAAAGAGTTCATAGTAATCCACTTCCACCTATACAATGTATTTTGAAAGAAAATATTCTTGGTAAGTGCAAGAGAAGATTGTTTATTTCCTTGGAGGGTTTATTAAAATTAAATTTAACATTCTTATCTGAATGTTGTGATTGGATGAAAAATTGATCTTTTGACTGGTAAGAAATTGGACCTGCAACTCAGTGAGCTAAGAAGTTTTAGAGATGACTACTACTATTGGTCTTGGGGTTTTTTTTTGCAGGACTTGGAGTAGAAGGAGAATTAGTAACAGTATCTAGGAAAATGTTTAGAAACAGTTTATACCCCAGACAAAAAGCTGTGTATGCTTCACCAGAAAATCTGGCAGAATATCAAACTGTTGAAAAGGTATATAATATGAAATATTTTGTTTAGTGGATAGCTGTTGAAAGTGATTAAGGTGGGGCTTGATTAGAGTGTTCTGAACAGGTTTTGTGTCTTCCAATTCTGCCCACAATCGAACAGTATGAAAGTGGATTATGTCACATTTTCTTGAGTTCTCATTTCTATTTGCAGGATAAAACTGGAAAGAAGAAAGTTACCAAATTCTCCATGACTGTAAGTACCTTAAGAATATCAGGATTTCATGGCACCAAACTACTCTTTATGTTATTGAAGAGATCATTTGGACAAATGCTTATGTGCAGCATACTTTTTTTACAGCATAGCATTTAAAAAAAGGAGAAATTTCAAATGAGATATTAACATTTTCTAGGCTCTGTAATCAGGCAAAAAATGACATTGTGAGTCATGAGGATGCGTAATGATTTTGCAAAATTTACCTAAAGCACCAAATTTGGAAGTCTTTTGGAAATATTTCAGACATCTGCTCGATTAAAGAAGTTATATTTGCCGGTTCCAATGAGTGGAGACAACAAATGGACTTTAAACAAAGATCATATTAGACTAGCTCTTAGAAAAGTGGTAAGTTTGTTACATTGAACTAGTGCTTAAAAGTTGTTGTCAGTTAGTGCCATTGAACTAGCTTGTTATCGCTACGGTCTGATCACAGCCTTTCGGTTTAAATTTGGTTCCAGCATGTCAGTGATGCAGATCAGAAGGGTTGACATAGGAAAATGTGATATCATTAGGCCAATGCTGCTCCTTATTGCACACTGTATGGCTTTGCTCCTTTCATAAGCTCCATCAGTTAAAACTCCATTTCATTCTATATTTTAGGGTGTTGAAGCTGAACAAGATACAATAACACTGCTCCACTCATCAATCACAGAACCACAAGAATTTAAATTTGAAATTTCTGTAAGTTCTTTCATTTTTAGAATTTTTCTATGTTGAAATGCAGGAATGAAGGTACTGAAATAATGTTCTTAGCTCAGTGGACACTTTGAAGTATTAGAGATTTGTCTAGTTATAAGAACCTGTATCCCTTTTCAATTGCTTTACTCTGTGCTTTGAGTTAAGCCCTAAGCCATGTTGTCTTATGTTGGTTGGTTGGTTGGTAGATGACAAGTTAACATCCTCTGCCAGCAGCAACTGATATTGCAGGCTCTTGTCAATGTATACTATTTATTTTTTGTTTTTTAGGTTATGGGATTGGATCCAATAACAGTTGATGGTCATATTTACTTAGTATATAAAAATGCAGCCAAAAATATGGCTGCCTTGGACCTCCCACCTGTCTGGAAGACCACAGTAAAGAAGCCCAAAGACAGTGATCAATTGGAAGCGGAAGGTAGTGAAAGACTAGCTAGTGACACATTAGACAGTGACTCCTCGTCAGATGATGAGGCAAGTCCTAAATTATCAAAGGATGTTGACTATCAAAGAAATAT